TGGAAAAACGTACCTCTGAAAAACCCAGCGGGGGGTATTTTGTCCCGTTTGGACAGTTCTAGTTTTTCATTTTATTGGCAATAAAGTAGATGAGGGAGGTATTTTTTTTTATTTTAATTTTCGATTTTTCTTTAACATAAAGATAATTTTTTTTAATCACAGATATACTTTCCATTTCTGGTCAAAATTTCTGCTTTATCCATTGCTTAACAGCGTGTAAACATCGTAGGTAATGTCCTTGAATGTATTTTCAAATGAAGCAGCCAAAATCTCATTGTAAATGGCTACCGGAAGTGATATTTGAATACTAAACTACGAAACAAATGAGGTCGGAAATTTTTTTCCCGGATTGGTCTTCGCAATACCAACTTTTTATTTTATCAAAAATACAATAAAATCGGCAATGCGGCTACCTCAAAACGGATGCGCGCGGGCCTGAGAACCAAGATTTCAATTTTATATGGCCTTAGATCTAGAATGCTTGGTCAGACAGAAAAAAATAGGTACCTTTGAGGTACTTGATTGGTTCTCTGCACATTGGCTTTAAGTTGCTGTGGGATCCCGTTACAAAACTCATCGCCAGTCATGCTGCAGGCCTCGATAAAGCTGTGTTCTGGGATTTATACAGGCTGGTTCTAGAAGATGCAGCTCAAAAGTGTGGTAGGAACTGTAAAGTTTACTTGAATTCTGTAAAATGTCATTTAACGCTTTATAATTGTCAATAAAAAAAATTATAAAGCTCTCTTTAAAAAAAAAATTACTTAATGAAAATATAGCATAAAATACAAAAGTTACAAAGATTTCTCACTTCAACATACCAAATTTTCATTTTCATTCTCTTTTTCTAGAGGAATCTTTACACCAGACAGATTCAACAGCTAGCACAGAACAGGATCCAATGGAGGAAGATGATGATAACATGAGACAACTTTTTGTGAAGAGCTGTAGATCACATGAAAGTCTAGAAAAACCAGACTATGCCAACTTTAGATTCTACCTGTGGAAGTCTATGCATCTGTTTCCTGACTTGTGTGAAAAGAAAAATAGGGATGTTGTTACTTTGTTGTTGAAATTTATGAGGTACAGTTTATTACAGAACATCAAACTGAAATAATTCTAACTGCACCAAGCATAGAATTTGAATTTAAAGGATAATATATCTGTAGGTAGTACATGATTCATGTACCATACATGTATACAGTAACACTTATAACAAAGCGACAGAAATGACCAACTTTGATTCATTAGAAGTGTCATTTGTTTTAGCCATTAAGAATATAACACATTTTAAAACAAATGGGATTGAAAATCACTTGCAGTAAGCATGAATTCGCTATAAATGTAATTCCTATAACCATGTTATATTGTATTTCTTGAAGGTAAACTTCCTTTCATCATTTGAAAAGATTGACTACCTAAATGATACCTATACCATTGATAAAAGTTTATCTTACACACATTAATTGATTTTTTACATCTATCACTTTTCTTGATTGTACATTTTCTATGATTTGGATGAATATTTTAACAGTATGGAGTACTACAATGTGGACTTGTCAGCGGCTCCTACTCAGAACTTAAAGAGGCAAGAGACTCAAGTGTTATCTGAAGAGGAGGAGGAGGATGTTGAGGATGAGGAAGAAGAAGAGGACCATATGGAAACCAGGGCCCAGAGGAAGAGTAAAGATAGAAAGAAAGGGAGGAAAGAGAGAAAGTCAGAAACGTAAGTACTGATCAATTAGAATCAGGTTTAAAAATAACTTCAAGGTTGTCCCTACGAATTGAAATAGAGGGGGACATTTAAAAGGAATTTCTCCCCTAATGGGGAGAAAAGAATAAATACCGATATACCAAAATAATTATTGGATTAAATCATTGTATCGAGGAAATTCCCTGATCCCTGAGTCTTAGAAACATCCATTTATCCCTATGGAGATGTTGTATAATTTGTAAACTGTATTGTAAATTTTTGTAGATATCAAAGATGTTTTTTAAAGAAAATATGATATGTTCTGTACTTAATCTCTTATGTTGGCAGCAAATCATATCAGGTACTTGGATCTGTCTCAATATTTTAAAAAAGTATGCTGTCCATTATTTGTTATGCCCCCCTTCGAAGAAGGGAGGGCATATTGCTTTGCTGCTGTCTGTCTGTCCGTCGGTCTGTCGGTCCACTTAGTTTCTGTTCATTTTCTTTGCAACCATTGCACATACTGAAATGAAATTTGGTATACAGATATATCATATGAATATCTAGGTCAATTTATGTTATTGGTACTATCGCATCATTTTTTACAGAGTTATGCCCCTTGGACTTCGAAAAATTCCAATTATTTGCAGTTTCTGTTCATTTTCTTCACAACCATTGTACATACTGAAATGAAATTTGGTATACAGATATACATATTGAATATCTAGGTCAAGTTTTGTTATGAGTATGATTGCACCATTTTTGACAGAGTTTTGCCCCTTCGACTTAGAAAAATACCAATTATTTGAAGTTTTTGTTCATTTTCTTCACAACCGTTGCACATACTGACATGAAATTTAGTATACAGATTTATCAGATGAATATCTAGATTAAATTCTGTTTTTGGTACCATTGCACCATTTTTGACAGAGTGATGCCCCTTGGACTTAGAAAAAATTCCAATTATTTGCAGTTTCTACATTTTCTTTGCAGAGGTTGTACATACTAAAATGAAATTTGGTAAACAGATTTATCAGATGACTATCTTGGTCAAGTTCTGTTTTGGGTACATGTACAATCACACCATTTTTGACAGAGCTATGCCCTTTTGGACTTGGAAAAATACCAATTTGGGGGGAGGGGAGCATAAGTGTTTTACAAACATCTCTTGTTGTATAATTTTTGCACCACATAGGGAAGAAGACTTAATGGATGATGAAATTGTTGAGGAACAAAAGAAAAGCAAAACCAAAGATAAAGGGGGCAACACAAAGGGTTCAAGGATCAAGAGAAGGGCAGCTACTAGGTATATCAACATATCTGCTATTGAATATAATATATATTGATTATATCTCTTGTATTCTGATATATGTGTATTATTCTTTAATCATTGCTCTACACTTTAAAAATGAATACATTCTTGTTAACTTTGTTAGAAGAATTTGGATGAATTTTTTTTTGTATATTGTATTTAAAAAATATCCTTTTCCAGTGCCCTTATTGTACATTTGGAACTGTTCAGTAAATTCTCCAGCCCCAAATCCTTATACAGAGAAACCGAAGTCAGACATCTGTATGAACAGGTACTCCATAGAAATCAGTATGCACTGTATTTTTGTGTCTTTAAATATTGAAAGTGATATGAATAAAACAATCGATTACTTTGTTTACAGCTATTATTTCACAAAAATGGTAAAGTACAGAAGGTGGCCTTTAGCTGCATCATGACGTACAAACATAAATATTTAGTGCCATACAAGTAAGTCCAGGCAAGATCTGTTTGATCAAATAGAGTATCTAATGTCTCTGTATTAATTTTGCTTTGAGTTACAGGATGTAGAGTTATGATTATTCTTTATTTACAGGGAGAATTTTGAGAACCTGCTGAATGATGCCAAGTTTAAGACAGAGATTGTCCTGTTCAGTATTGATCATGAGAACAGTATAGTGAGTCCAGAACACAGGGACCAGGTGCTGCCTATCTTAATGAGGTCTGTCAGCCCTAAAGTCAAATTCTGAAAGAAATTATTCTTTATCAGCCACTTAGTTCCATGAAAATACATAGGTATTTTATATGGCTATCAGAGTATTTAAATACTGTAAACATACATTTTTCCATGAATCCATGTGGTCATAATTTCATGGAATCACAATTTCTGTTCAAACCACTGATATTAAATTACCGGGTATGCAGATTTTCTACATTTCATCCAAGAGCCTTTTATGTAATTTAAGTACGCTGGGACAAATTTGTTGTCTTGTACATAGCGTAGATAAATACACATGGAAAAAAGGTACTTTCACAGTAGTTGTCAATCTAAAAGCATTTTTCAAACATCGTAAAGCTATGTTGTGTGTATAATTTACAGGATACTTTACGGTAAGATGCACAGTAAGACAGGTAAGGACTCGGCCGGGAAGTCCCACAGTCAGTTCAGGAGGTCCATAGTGTTCCGATTCCTTAACGGCTGTAGTGGGGAGGAAATCATCAAGTTCATGGAAATGGTGTTTGAGAGCTTCAAACACTTTGTATCTGGTTAGTATGAAGGACATAGTTTACCCTTAAATGTTGATATTTCAAGATTTAATAGCTTGGTATGCAAGGTTATTGTATTAGACCTTTCAAATATTTACAGGTAGTTATTGGTTTTATTTATAGATGATGCTCTGGTTATGGTGTGTCAAACAGAAAAAGAAATTGATCTATCCAAAGTGATCCCTCTTAGGAAAATGAATGGGTAAATTACCTAACACTGTTATCTTCTTGACTAGTTATGTAAATCTGTTTTTGTAGCAAAGTGTCTTACAGATACTTCAAATATAGATTTGTATAGCAAGTCAGTAATTCTCAAAAAAGAAAGCATCAAACCCTCACAAAAAGTAAAATTCTAGATTTGGGATGATTCACGTACATTGTAAAATTATGTAATAACTTCATTCAAAGTTGATGAAGATTTTACAAACGGTTACAACGTATTTTGAATTACCAATAAATACTATCCTTTTCTATCCCCTCAGGGCATTAAATACAGTGGATATGATTGTGAAGAAGTTGGGTCACCTGATTGAGGGTTACCTCCCCTCCCTACACTGTGTCCTCCTGGGGTTAACCTCTACCTGTGTGGCCTGTCTGGAGAGGAGGGAGGAGGTATCCCCGGGGGCCCTCAAACCTCTCAAAAACATCAGGCAGTTATGTATCACCCAGATCATGCAGGTAAGTAGTGTAGAAATGTGCTCTTTTAAGCTGTTTTTGGTCTTGTTTACAGATTTATGTGCCAGTGTTTGAAATGCACATGTGTACTCCACTCCTTTGATTGAGATTTTATATACAATGTGTTCTCTAAAAAGGGATGTTAAAGTATTGTTGAATTTTTTTTTCATTGTAGTTCTATGATGTCTTTGACAGCTATAAGTTTTCACCAAAAGAGATAGATGCCATGTTTCATGTTGCTGTCTGGCCACAGGTAATTGTCAGAAGATAAAACTAAACTACCCTTTATTATGTATGTGACACTTTATTTCATAGAACCTTTCCAATGCATTATCTAAGGGGAGTTTTGAAGAAATATATTGATTTTGTCCCATGAAAAATAATTTTACATAATTTAAATGATTTTGGGATTTTTTTTCTGCAATCTATTCTAAATATTTTGTCAAAAAGCATTAATATTTAGATGTACTATAATTATGTTATCTTTGCATTTCTAGCTACCAAAACTTCAGAATGAAGGAATCTACCACCCAACACCCCTTCTTAAACTACTGCATATGTGCACAGCAAACAGAAGGTATTTATTGTCTCTTGAATAGTGATTGGCTTTTTAGCAGCCATTAAGCTGTTTAAGCATACTGTGAGAAGTGATTTTTTTTAAACTTTAAAAGCACTTCATGCAATGTTTACTTCATTTGTTAAATTTTTGTTACTATGTTTTAGCAATTCAGTTGAAATATTAGTAAATTGCACTTATCTATCGATTATTAGGATCTAACACCTACCCTAATCCTTGCCAAATTTCAATCCATTTGAATGTATAAGTGATATTGAACAAAACTTCAGTTTTGGACTTGAATGTTTTAGGTATTTGACCTTGTTGGCCAAGTGTCACGATACTGACCCTGAATTGACCCCTATAAGTGCTGTTCTAAAGCTTCTGAATGCCAAGGAAGTAAACAAATCTGTGACAGACTTCATCATTGAGATGCTTAACAACCTGTTGTTAGGTGAAGAGGAGGAGGAAATGGAAACCATCACCATGGCAACACCAGTCAAAGTCAACAAAATGGTCCAAATAAATGGTAAACCTCATAAATGTGAATTATAAATTGTTATTCTATACAGCCTTGAAGAACACTTTTAGCTGACATGATCTTTATTAACCTGCATGTCAGAAAATGTTACAATTCTTACTTCTTTTTCTTTTAGCAGCATTATCAATTTGAGAACTTATGATTATTAACAAGTATTTCAAAGAATTTGAGATTTCAAATAGAGATACAGTATAAATAAATGTGATTTATTTATTTTTTTGAGCCAATAGTTTGATAATTTTCTATATTTTTGCAGTATCAGAAGTAGGGCAGTTTGGAGCAGAGCTTTTGAAACCACACGTGTCAGATATTTTAACATACCTACAGAAAGCTATAAAAAGTATCAAAGGTCACGGTAAAAGGTCACAGACTGCAGGAAAAGAGCTGTCTATTTTGTCAAGGTAACTTCCTGTCTATATATTTGGTACAATATCAGTTAATAAGTAATTGTGGTATTTTTATATAAATTTGATGGATTTTTTCAGCTTGTAAACAATTATTAGCTAGAAATTCTAAGTGGACAATACAATGACCTAGACACTGGTCAAACAATTTTAAGTAGGTTTTATTGTGCATTGACATGTCAAATATGTTAATATACAATTATGGACTTCAGTGTAGGTCGATATGTGGTTATAAGGACTCATGGCAATTGATATTGACCGAAGACATAGAAAGTGATAGCGACCGAGCCTGAAGTCCATAATAGTTATATTATATAATCACTCAAAGTGAATGCACTAACACAGTCCTAACTAAACAGACTTGGCTGTCATTGCGTCACAATGGTTAAAAACATGGTTCTCATACTATGACGTCATGTTTTACGTAACTTCAATGCAACCGAACGCTGTGTCGTGCGTTATCATTTTCTGCCGACGCGCTTTCGCGTCGTTATCACAAAAGGAGGAAAATCACATGATGTCCTTTCAGCCAATGAAAATCACGTAAATAATCTTATATAATATAGCTTTTTATTGAATTCCAGAATCAGTGAATTTGTGACTGACCAATCAGAATGCCTGGCACTGATAGAGCTCCTCCTCCCTTTTCTGGGGGAGGGGCTCAGTAGACTTCCTGACACAGAGGTCAACATTCTGACCAGTATCAGGAACCTGGTAGACAAGGTCAAGGACAAGAAAAAGTTCTACAGGCGAGTTTTTTTTATCTGCTATCACACATTTAAAGTTCAAATTTTAACTATTTTTGAAGCAAATTAATCAATTGCAAAATAAGATTTGAATGCTGGTCTTGTTTCATATTCCAGATCATTTTGCCAGCTCTTTGGATATATCCAGAACCGACAGTCAAGAATTCTTCTTTGCCAACTAATTCAGGTATAATTCAAACACATTTACATAAAAAAGATTTCTCTCATTACTTCCACATTTTAAAAAAAAATTCATGCATGTAGATGTGCTTTGGAGGTGGCATGCATGAATTTGTTTTAATTGTTGGTTTTTGGTTCATTTAGGTTATTGCTGAGAGTAATGAAGAATTGAAAGAGATAGCACAACTGTTATCAGAGGTGGGTAGTCTTTCATAATTACTTTCATAATGGCATTGTGTATTAGTAAGCTAACTTTTAAAATTCAAATTTATACATTATCTTTATGCCATTGTACAGTTGAATGCATGGGACCCTAAACACACGGAGGAGCCAGATTATATGAAGAGACTGAATGCTCACAAGAAAGTTAACGAGGCCATCAAAGGGATGGAGGATGAATTAAATGTGGATTTCCTGCTGCCTGTTCTTCATTCTTGTTGCTATTGCATCAAAAATGTATGTGTAATCCCTTCTTTGAGACTATTCAATAGTTAACACAATAACATACAATGTACATAAAGTTATTTTTCTTGATATACAGCCATGTAAAAATACAACAGTCTTTTGGGTTTAAGAAAATTTGCAATTTTTCCTATTTTTATTCAGTATGGAAAATTCTGAAGAATTATGATGTAATTTTAAACATGTATATTGAAAATATTCTTATTTTATTTTTTATGATTATTGATTTCAATTCTGAAACAGATAGATGACATGTCACTGAGGGATAATGCCACCCACACACTGGTTACCATGGTGAAACAGTTCAGTCATGTGACCTATGACCAGGATGTTTTCCGAGATCTGATTTCTAATGGACTTATTCATGAAGTCAAAGCAGGCTTTAGGAACAAAAAAGAGGTAAAAAGATGATGCTAGAATTTCAAACTTTAAGAGGTTTTATAATTTTGGCAAAATTTATTAATAAGACACATATATATTTCACATCGTTTAATAAATATGATAATGTATGCATAGTTTGAAAAAATTCTTCAAGTATCATGCACTTAAAAAATATGTCAAAATTTTATGACAGATATATTTTGATAGGTTTGAGAGTTTATGTTTTTTGAAGTTCCTTGAAAATTCTTTGTAGCATGTGCGACATGAGTTCATTGCTGTTCTGTCTGTATTGGTGGAAATGTTCCCATCACATGACATGTTCTCTGACCTTGTGATTCTCAAGGACAAAGACGTGGAGGCTGATTTCTTTGAAAACATACGGCATATTCAGGTAAACTTGCAGTGAAACACAATTACATATAAATTTCAGAAAATGCTTTAATTTGTTTTATACAATTATAGTAATTCATCACTATTTCAAGTACTGGTTGAATTTTTTATGTTCATTGTAAACATGAATTCATAGTTTGTTTTTGTTATGACAATGTTTTATGGTAGATATGGTTTCAAAAAGTAATGTTTGAAAGATGGTGTAGTTTTGAATTAACACTACAAATTACCAAGCGAAAAAGAAAATGTTATTTTTTAAATACACATGTACTTAACCAATATAGGATATATATTATTGCTGAGGTTTTTATTTGATAATTTAAAAAGAATGTGTTTCCAGGCCATAATCATTAAACTTTTCATTTTCATCATTACAGACACACAGACGATCAAGAGCATTGAAGAAGATGAACAGGACATTACAGTGTCGACCAGTTCGTAAGGAGATCCTGGTTTCTTATTTACTTCCTCTAACCTCTTCCTTCCTGCTTGACGAGACTTTTACAAAAGCCCAGGGTGTGCAAGAAAGTGCCATAGATGCCATGGGAGTTCTTTGTAAACAACTGCCTTGGCACATCTACATAAATCAGCTGAAATACTTTCTATCTTTATTGTCGAAGAAGTTTGAGAAGAAAAAACTTTTAGTCAGGTATACAGAATATTTTCAGTACATATAATATTACGGTTACCAAATTATTAGTTTGAAAGGAATATTTATAAAAACACTTTAACAGAGAATTCTTTCATAAATAAAATTTGCATATAATACATGTGTCTTGTTTGTTTATTGTAGGGTGATTGTTAATATTCTGGATGCATTCCACTTTGACCTCAGGAATTCTCAACATTCTGTTAACAATTTACCAGATTCTGTTGCAAAGAAGAAAGCAAAAGGAGAAATAACAGGTAAAAGGTTCTTGTTAAAGGAACCAATCCAAACCTACAAAAAGCTACTAATAATTCTAAAAATTTTATAAAAAGTAGAAGTACCTGTATATGAACATTCTTAGTCTGCAATATATTTTACAAAGATTATTCTGTATGCTAGTAAAAAATTTGTATTTATTGTATATAAAGCCACAGTTGATCCCATACATTGAATCAAACCTCTATTGTAGAGGAGCCAAATCCATTTGAAAATGAAGAAGAACGAGAAGCGGAAAACACAGAGGAAACTGTAGAGGCAATACCCACAATTCCAGAGGAAACTGACGAAACCATGGAAACGACCCCAGGCTCTCAAACCAAACAGTTTGATTCCATGGTGATATGTTCAGTTGGTCAGGCCACCAGAATCCATTGTACTATAATGAAGTCTGTTATCCCTAGCCTACAGAGGTGTTTGACAAAGAAGGTATTACTTCAATTGTCATGTAGGATATCCAATTCATTTTTTATGAATTTGCAGTTAATTTATGTCTCATTAACAAAATAAGTGTCCAGATAAGTAAAGCATTTGGATTTCTGAGTAAACTCTTTTCTTAGGCCATAATAAAAATATTCTTAGATTCTCATCCCTGCTTGCCCCGATTTTATACCCCCGCCTCAATTTATTTATTTCTGTTTTTCTTCGTCTTAATACTGATCGGGATCGGTATTCATCTACCATTCTACTTTCGTTTTAAATCCTGCGAAAGTCGACATGATTTTGAGCTGAAAAGATGGTATATTGCTGTAATACATGCGTATACATATATTTTAAACAAGGGTCATTGGTTGAAAAAGATCGGTGATGATGTGAAGTAAGAGATAATTGAACCTTCACTTAACTTTTATTCGGGTATTGTAGATAAAATTACACCGATTGACCAGGTCAATAAAAAATCTGCAAAATTGAAAAAAATGAAAAAATATAAAATGAAAGCCGCCCGCCCGCCTTGATTTGTAAAAAAAATTGGATGAGAATCTAGCAATTTATTTATTATGGCCTTAAGTGATGATTATGATCTAGAAGGTAACACGACTCTTAATGACAGATAAACAGGTCGCTGATATACAGTGATCTAAATTTGTAAAATAATAAGATTTTTAATGCTATATTTTTGCAGGAGAAGAGTGAAGATGAACACAAGCTGGCTAGGAATAATATAGCTGAGGACAGTGAAGTACTGAGAGTACCTATAGCTCTAGCCATGATAAAGTTACTACAGAATCTACCTCATAAATCACTGGAGCGCAACCTTCCAGGGCAAGTGTTTATTCTGACCAAATTCACAAATTATACATACAGTAAAAATTGTCCAATCCGAACACCTTTGAATCATCAAAGATTGGCTTAATTATAGATAAGACAATACTAGACATTAGAATTTATTAGGGGACTTGATATTTTTGCCCCTCTTTGAAGAAGGGAGGGCATATTGCTTTGCTGCTGTCTGTCGGTTGGTTGGTCGGTCTGTCTGTCGGTCCACTTAGTTTCCATTCATTTTCTTCGCAACCATTGCACATACTGAAATGAAATTTGGTATACAGATATATCACATGAATATCTAGGTCAACATCAGTTTTGGGTATGCTCGCACCATTTTTGACAGAGTTATGCCCCTTGGACTTACAAAAATTTCAATTATTTGCTGTTTCCATTCATTTTCCTTGCAACCGTTGTACATACTGAAATGAAATTTGGTATAAAGATATATCAGATGAATGTCAAGGTCAAGTTTTGATTTGGGTATGATCGCGCCATTTTTGACAGAGTTATGCCCTTTGGACTTGGAAAAATTCTAATTTGGGGGAAGGGGGGCATAAGTGTTTTACAAACATCTCTTGTTACATTGTAATTGACAATACTTTAGAATACACAGCATCCAGATAATATGCAAGTTTTTAGGTCACCTGAGTAAACTCAAGTCGTCCGTCGTGCGTCGTCCATCATGCGTCGTGTGTTAACATTGGAACATTTTCAGCTTCTTCTCTGCAACCACTGAACCAATTTCAACCAAATTTGGCACAAAGCATCTATGGGTGAAGGGGAACAAAAATTGTGAATTTCATTATCCCTGCCCCCCTGGGGCCAAAACCACTAAAATTAATGCAATCTTTAAAAATCTTCTTTACACCTGGACATCAAGTAGTCAAACTATTTGCATGATTGTAATCAGCATTGAGTCCTCTACCAAAATTGTGAAATTCATGGCCCTGGGGTCAGGGGTTCTAGTGCTAGGGTGGGGCTATATAGATAATATAGTGAAAATGCATTATTTCTTTGAAAATCTTCTCTGCTTCTGAGTATTAAATAAACCAACTAAGTATATAGTATGATGAGCAAGAGTGCCTGTACCAAAATTGTGAATTTTATGGCCCCAGGGTCAGGGGTTCTGGTGTTAGGGTGGGGCTCTATTGATTATATATAGTGAAAATACTGTAAACCAACTTTTATTCGCGATGACTTTATTTCGCGATTTACCAGGGATAAACTAGTTCGCGACGATTAATTTTCGCGATCAAGCCTTTTTGAATCTGTTGTTAATAGACACTTATACATTCAGGGCCGGTTCGCGGCGAGAAATATTCGCGATGGCGAGGCTCTCGCGAACTTCGCGAAAATTTCTCGCACGCGAATAAAAGTTGGTTTACAGTACATGATTTCTTTGAAAATCTTCTTCTCTGCTCCTAGGTATTAAATAAACCAACTAAGTACATAATTATTATGAGCAAGAGTGCCTCTACCAAAATTGTGAATTTTATGGCCCCAGGGTCAATGGTTCTGGTGTTGGGGGGTGGGGCTCTATTGATTATATAGTGAAAATACATTAAATCTTTGAAAATCTTCTTTTCTGCTCCTAGATATTAAATAAACTAAACTATGTGCATAGTTATGATGAGCAAGAATGCCTCTTCTAAAATTATGAATTTTATGGCCCCAGGGTCTGGGGTTCTGGTGTTAGGGTGGGGCTCTATTAATTATATAGTGAAAATACATTAAATCTTTGAAAATTTTTTTTCTCTGTCTCTGGGTATGAAGCAGATGAACTACCTATATAGTTATGATGAGCAAGGGCCCTAATCTTGCAGAATTTTGAATTTCAAGGCCCCAGGGTCAGGGGGAGGGGGGCTCTACTTATATACTGAAAATGAATTAATTGTTTGAAATATGCTCCTTTGTATTTATAAAACATTTATTTATTTTTTGATAGGCAATTTTAAGGGTGCCTTTTAAAAATTTGTGCAATGTGTGGACCTAATGTCAGGGGTTTATGTCACATTGTTAGGGGCACTACTGATTATTGCTGAATATTACTGATTAGTTGGAGGGCATTTTTGTTCCCCTACCCTGCGTATTGGTATTCAGTAACCAAGCTAAGCAACTGCTAAATGTAGTTATGATGATCAATGATGCCTCTTTCAAAATTGTGAATGCCATATAGCATCTGGCTTAAAACATGAATCAAATTCAATACACTGTAACTGGGAAGTTGTTGCATAATGCTCAGGTGACCTATAAGGCACGTGGGCCTCTTGTTCTATATTCATCTTTATTAACTGAACTATCAATATGTCTTTTAGAGTATATGAAAAATAACATGATTTGATAATATCTATAAAATGTGTTTTAATATTTTGTTCTTATTTTAGAATCCTGTTGAAGGTTTGTAATTTTATGAGGTCTAGAGCTGTTGACATCAGAAACACTGCCAGGGACACACTGGTGAAGATTACCACTTCCCTAGGACCAAGGTTTTTCCCATACATTTTGTCAGAACTTAGAGGGACATTGAGAAAAGGATATCAGGTAACAGACCTACTTAAATATTAGTTTAGTTTAAACATCATTGGCTTGTTTTGTTTGAATAAAATTTCATAATTTTTTCCAAACTATATTGAGTTTTTCACAAACATGTTGCAGTTAACTACTAAAAATAATTAGTTCTTATAATGCACACTCATTATAAATTTGAAATTGTTTTGTATATTTGTTTATGTTTGACAGGTCCATGTGTTGTGCTACACAGTCAATGTGCTCCTTAAGAATCTGTTGCCTGTACTTAAACCAGGAGAGCTGGATGTCTGCAGGAAGAGTCTCCAGGATGTGAGTCAATTTCAAACATTCTTGAGATCAAGAAAATATTTTTATGCCCCCCTCGAAGAAGGGAGGGCATATTGCTTTGCTGCTGTCCGTCGGTCTGTCGGTCGGTCGGTCTGTCGGTCCATTTAGTTTCCGTTCATTTTCTTTACAACCGCTGCATATACTGAAATGAAATTTGGTATACAGGTTTATCAGGTAAATATCTAGGTCAAGTTCTGTTTTGGGTACGATCACACCATTTTTGACAGAGTTATGCCCCTTGGACTTAGAAAAATTCCATTTATTTGCAGTTTCCGTTCATTTTCTTTGCAGAGGTTGCACATATTGAAATGAAATTTAGTATACAGATGTTTCAGCTGAATATCTAGGTCGAGTTCTGTTTTGGGTTTGATCGCACCTTTTTTGATAGAGTTATGCCCCTTGGACTTATAAAAATTCCACTTATTTGCCGTTTCCATTCATTTTCTTTGCAGAGGTTGCACATATTCAAATGAAATTTAGTATACGGATGTTTCAGCTGAATATCTAGGACAAGTTCTGTTTTGGGTTCTATCACAACCTTTTTGTCAGAGTTATGCCCCTTTGACTTAGAAAAATTCCAATTATTTGCTGTTTCCGTTCATTTTCTTTGCAGAGGTTGCACATAATGAAATAAAATTTAGTATACAGATTTTTCAGCTGATTATCTAAGTCAAGTTTTGTTTTGGGTACGATTGCACCATTTTAGACAGAGTTATGCACTTTTGGACTTAGGAAAAATCCAATTTGGGGGGAGGGGGGCATAAGTGTTTTACAAACATCTCTTGTTTACCTTATGTGTAATTGATTTCCTCAGGAAAATATGGATGGAGGAAAACACAATTTAATTGGCAAAAAAACACATTACAGGGTTATACTGTATAAGTTAACATTTTTAGTAGACCCAAATTTAGCAATTTATGCCAAAAAATTGGTACTGGTATATTTTTAGGGAGAAGTTATTTTTTAGCAATTAAATAGTGTCAAGAGAGAAAGTTATTACCATCTATTGGAATAAACAGTTAGAAAAATTCAATTTTAGTGATATAGGAACCCTTGCTAATAATGTCAAAATTGGATCCTTGCTAAAAATTCTGCTATTAAGGTAATATGCACTCCCGAAAGCTAGACCAATTAATAGGATAAACAAATCTTGAAATTTCTTAATTCTAATTAGGCTGTATGTTTTTCTGTTTTCGTCAGGTTTTCCATGAAGATTTATTTGGACAAGTGGCTGAGGAGAAGGAGGTGGCGGGTGTTACAAGTAAACTGTTTGAGGCCAGGTCCATAAAAAGTTACGACTCGTACAAAATACTGGCTCAAGTCATCAGTAAAGAATCACTCATGGCATTCATCACTCCACTGAAAGAGGTAAGGTATTGTAATATTTATCCCCCCCCCCTCTTCACGCTCCTACAAACAAAATTTTGGGCTTATTCACATATTTCCAAGTGTTTTACATTGGATGTCTCAAACCCTGGCCCTTGGATATTTCAAAGTATTTTCTCATAGTGTTGTTTGAGATAGCAAGGTTTGACTGTAATTGTGTGAATATAAGTATTAAATACCAGTCCTGTATATTAGTCTTTGTATGATACCATGACAAAACATATCATGCATTAAAAAAAGGATAAATTAGTAAATCAACAAATTCACACCTTATTTAACAAGCATTCTGAGAGCATTGCATAAGCAATAGACTTCCATTGAGCTCATTTAAGCAAGAGTTATACCCCATGGCTGCCATGTTGTAGGGCAACTCTCCCAGATTCCATCATTATTCAACCAAGTTCAATTTGTTATACTGATTACTGAGGTAAAGCTACTCTATTTTACTATCGGAAATACGTTTTTTTAAAGCCATTATTAATTCATAAATTTAAGACTGTAAATATTTCCCCCCATATATTTCTGGCATGCATGTTTAAAATTGGTTTCTCAAAGAGAGAAAAATTCACTGCTTTGCCCTCAAGGTGGCGGCTAAGGGGAACATCTCCTAGGCAAAATTTCTCAAAGGAAAACCATCTATACATGTCTCCTACCAGGTTCCCCTTTTTAGCTCACCTGAGCTGAAAGCTGTCCATCTGTCTGTCTGTAAACTTTTCACATTTTCGACTTCTTCTCAAGAACCGCTGGGCCAATTTCAACCAAACTTGCCACAAAGTATCCTTGGGTGAAGGGGATTTAAGTTTGGTCAAATGAAGGGCCACACCCTCATTCAAGGGGAGATAATTGGGAATTAATGAAAATTTGGTGGCATATTTTAAAAATCTTCTTCTCAACAACCACTGTGCCAGAAGAGATGAAACTTATGGGGAAACATCCTCAGGTAGTGTAGATTCAAGTTTGTTCAAATCATGACCCCCGTGGGTAGGGAGGGGCCAAAATTTCCGACCAAACTTTTACATAGAAATATGTAGGAAAATTCTTTAAAAATCTTCTTCTCAAAAATGACAAAGCCATAATTCATCATATTTATATGGAAGCATGTTCAGGTTGTGTAGATTCAAGTTTGTTCAAATCATGACCCCCAGGGGTAGGGCGGGGCCAAAATGGCCGACCAAAGTTTTACATAGAAATATATAGGAAAATTCTTTAAACATCTTCTTCTCAATAATGACAAAGCCATAATTCATCATATTTATATGGAAGCATGTTCAGGTAGTGTAGATTCAAATTTGTTCAAATCATGACCCCCAGGGGTAGGGCGGGGCCAAAATGGCCGACCAAAGTTTTACCATGAAATATATAGGAAAATTCTTTAAAAATCATTTTCTAAAAAATAGCAAATCCATGATTGGTCATGGGACTACTTTTGGATTTCAATTTTACAATTCCTACACTTAGTGCTCAGGTGAGCGATGTGGCCCATGGGCATCTTGTTCTTTAGCATGTCATTTCATTCTATGCAAAAGTTATGTCCAAGGTAAAACTGATTGATTTGAAGGTTGTGAATGCCTATTCCTTTTTTGACGTCTTTTCTCGCTTTATATTTACCATGCTGACAATGGGAAGTTAGCACAGCACGAACCCAATCTTAATTTAACCATTATAAAAAATTAAAAATGCCTTAATTTTGTCAAAAATCAATGAAGCGGAACGACATTCAAACTGATCTGTAACTCATCAAGATACACTCACAAACCAAAATTCAGCTCAATATCTGCTAGCGCTTAGAAAAAAAGTGCAGAAAACCAAGTAGGACGACTGACAGACAGACGGGGATAGCTAGACAGACGGACAGACAGACAGACAGATGCAGAGAAAACTATAGTCCCCTCCGGTTTCAGCGGTAGGGGGCAAAAAATGTCAAGAAAACATTTTCAGTACTTGTTAAATAATTATAAATGAAAAGATGGCATCATTCTGATAATAAAAATTTGTAAATCTGTATATTAATCAGAAAATTTTGCTGTCTAGAATTTTAGCTATTTTGTGCATTTACTGCATTTGCAGAAATATTTTTTGTAAAAAAAGATCAGCAAAAAAACGAACTTGTAAATCTAAATGAAATTTAATTTACACTTGAATGCAAAACTCTCCCTTTCAAAGAATTTATTCAGTCACTTTTAAAAAGTAATGTCAAATGAATCTAAAATAGTCTTTATAAACCTAATAAATTGGACATTTCTAAAAACAGATACCACAGATGCAATTCCTAACTGACGTCATCATGTGAATGACAAAGTATTGATTATTAGAAACATGGAATTTAAGACATTAAGAAATTCGAGACATTTGATTAAAAATAAAAAAAAAACAAAACAATTGTACTCTTTGCATTCGGTATAATACCTAGATATAAAGACCTTAGAGAAAGATCTGTGTACTATTCATCTTCTGGTTTAATGTTTATTTTATGTCTGAGTTTTGTATGAGATGGAATGAGTTTAAGAATTAAACAATTTTGACTTTGTTTCAATTTGCATTTCCCAAAATCTCCTAGAGAAAAATTGTACCGGAACTATTTACTGGGATTTACCAATGTTAATTTCCATCACCGGTGTTTCTCATCCAACGCTTTTGGACTTTGAGGTTCATAATTAAATTATTTCAGTTTATTTGCATGAACACATTGATCTTTAATTTATTCCATATACTTAATTTGTTTCACTCTATGGGACTCAGCTACATGCAATATATCATTGCTGTCTATACTGAGATCACATGGTTCGGTTAATTTACAGTTGTCTATGAACAGAAGGAATGTTCCATTCTGGTCAATGATGTGTATAATGTTATTAGCCCCGTCAGCAATCAGGATATGACACATGCTGTCTGTAGCAATACCAAATGGACTAAAGTTTTTGTATTTCATTCCACTGTATTTGAACTTGATATGTCCTTCATTGTTCAACACTAAAACTGAAAAACGCTCACTCAATACAATGTCAAGGTTCTTGTTTTCATCAATGTGGGGCACAGATGATAAAAATGAAAAATATTCTATCTCTGATAAGTCACTTCTTTTTATTTCTTGTGTGATTGTAGAACCAGAATAACGGACAACTCTTCTAGAGACCGATGTAAATCGATCGATATATATGGATGTCATAAGTACCAAGAGGTCATCAGTAGAGGTGCTGCAGATAGTAGCTGGTCTCCAGTCCTCTACTTTGAGCACTCTTTTTATCTTATCACCCTCCATTATATTAATATTTCCTGTTTCACTTTCAATATACACTAGATGTCCCTGTCTGGTGACTGTCAAAGCATTTGGGCCTGACAATGTATTCTTTGTGGTGATCTTCCTCAGCACCTCCCCCTCTTTGTTCATCTGTTTTATGATTCCATTGAGGTCACTGACCCAGAAGTGATCTGTGTGAGGAATACAAGCTACCTCACAAATTTCTTCATCTGTTTGTATATCTCCCACTGTAAGTGGCAAATCAAGAAACTTCTTTACAGCTTCTTCTGAACTGGAATTGGATTTGGGAGCTTGTAAGACCTGTCCATGAATGCAAGATTTCACTGTTTTTGGAATGTCACCAATTATCATACACAATATTTTCTCTGTAAGTTTTTTGGGACTGAAGTCTTGCACTGTTAGTTCAAATCTGGAATGAATAGTTCTGAACTTTTCATTTTCTGAAGTGTAATTGATAAGTTTAGATGGATCATTCGAGGCAAGGATAGATTTCTTCTCATCCATTGCTGATTGAATTGATAAGAAGCATTTTTGGAAATCTGCTTCCAGGGTCTTAATTTCATCAACATCCTCTCTTTCCTTTTTTGTTGCATCACCCTTATATTTTTTAATAACTTTGTCTACTAAATTGTGCCATGTTTTACCAATTTCATCCAGGGTTCTTTGCCTTTCTTCATGTTTCTGTTCAGTGCTTATGAATGCTTCTTTCATTTCTGAGAGTGTTGTTTCATAGATAGGTGCAATACTAGTTTCAAGTTCATTCATGTCTTTTCTGATGAGCTCCTGCTTAGACCTATAAATTTCAGAAATTGGGGGCACAATGTGATTTTCATGTGCTCCAGAGGCTAGACATTTCTGACATATCGGGGATCCACATTGTTCACAGAACATTTCACATTGTTTTTCACCATGGACACTGCATTGTGGTGGGATGACTTCAGATTTTCTGTACTCAAAAGTAACAACGTCATGTCTAATGGTGGGATTGGAAATCATATGATGACCTACGCAGTCCTTACAGAGATCAACTTGACATGTTTTACACACAGTTTCTGCAGCAGACTTTATGTCTTTCTCAGGGCAAAGTTGACAGCGTTTTACATCTTGTGCCCTGTCATGAGGATCCAATGATGTTGCCATAACTCACTAATTAAGAAGTTTTTTGAACCTGTGCCAACAATGAAAATAAACATCTTCATTATTCTGCATTTTAAAAAAAAAATATACACTGTACGAGGGTTGTTCGAAAATTATTGAGACATTGTGTATATTTTGCTTTCTAATGCCGTATGCTCTAGCGTATCAAATCAACTAAGAATCATAAAACCCGTATGCAGGTGATGGAGGTATATCGCTGCATAGGTAAGGGAAGTTGGCGATTGAAAAGTTTATGCGACTTGTTTATCATAAACGTCTTTCAGTGAAAATTGGCATACACGTTTGTCGTACACTAAAAATTAATGAGAGCAAGAAATATTTTACAAATATTAAATATTTTCCCTACAATGGTATATAAATGTCAATAGTAGGGGTACCCGGAGCAATCGCGGAATCAAATATTGAAAATATGTAAGCCCAAATTCTAACTCTCGCGGATCCATAATGAGAGCGAAAATAATTCAGTTTAAGTCTATAATTTTTTCAGCTTTGGTTCAAATTCATGTTGTGCAACTTTGATAGAATTTTTATCAGAAATACGGAGATCATAAAAAATTAAGCCCGGTAGAGAAATCTGCTAACAACAAAAAAATGGATTTTGACGTCAAGGGCGGAGCAGGCAGCATGCCTAAAATTTTGTGTAGAGCAATGTAGAACTCTTTTCAAGACTGAATGACTTGCTAAAACAATAACAACGAGAAAAAAAATGATGTGTTAGGGTTTGTTATTTCAGTGGAATACATTTTTATGCCCCGCCATGAATATGGCCGGGGCATATAGTGTTTGTCATGCCCATCTTCCGTTCTTCCGTCTTTCCGTCCTTCCGTCACACTTTGTGTTTAGCTCTGTTCAAAGCTAAGTCTCAAAGAAACTATCCAAGACATTTTCATCAAAATTCATATGCTGATAGATATTGATGAGAGCTATGCAACTGCATCAACATTTTTTGACCTTGACCTTTCTTTTGACATTGAACTCACTTTTCTTAAATTAGTGTTTTGCTCAGTTTTAAACATACCATTCAAGATGGTGTTATCAAACTTCACATGTTGATACAAACTTGCACGGATGATGCATCTAGGGATGAACACTACCAGACTTGCTTCGGATGCTGGATCTGACCTACATTTTCCAGATGAGTGACCAGGTTAAAGGTTTTGGAGCAGGTCCATTCCCAAGGAACTATAAGCCCTACTTAGACCAAACTTGCATGGATGATGCATCTTAAGATGGACACTACCAGAATTGCTTCGGATGCTGGATCTGACTTACATTTTTCAGATGAGTGATCAGGTTAAAATTTTGGAGCATGTCCATTTCCAAGGAACTATAAGCCCTACCCAAACCAAACTTTTGCGAATGATGCATATAGGGATGAACACTACCAGACTTGCTTCAGATGCTGGATCTGACCTACATTTTCCAGACGAGTGACCAGGTTAAAGTTTTTGGAGCAGGTCCATTACTAAGGAACTAAAAGCCCTACTTGAACCAAACTTGCATGGATGATGTATCTAGGGATGGACAGTACCAGACTTGCTTCGGATGCTGGATCTGACCTCTATTTTCATTCCAAAGTAACTATAAGCCCTTCCTGAACCAAACTTGCATGGATGATGCAGCTAGGGATGGGCACTACCAGACTTGCTTCGGATGCTGGAACTGACCTATATTTTCATTCCAAAGTAACTATAGGCCCTACCTGAACCAAACTTACATGGATGATGCATCTAGGGATGGACACTACCAGACTTGCTTCAGATGCTGGATCTGACCTATATTTTTATTCCCAAGTAACTATAGGCCCTGCCTAAACCAAACTTGCATGGATGATGCCTCTAGGGATGGACACTACCAGACTTGCTTTGGATGCTAGATCCGACCTACATTTTTATTCCCAAGTAACTATAAGCCCTACCTGAACCAAAACTTGCATGGATGATGCATCTAGGGATGGACACTACCAGACTTGTTTCAGATGCTGGATCTGACCTATATTTTCATTCCCAAGTAACTATAAGCCCTTCCTGAACCAAACTTGCATGGATGATGCAGCTAGGGATGGACACTACCAGACTTGCTTCGGATGCTGGATCTGACCTATATTTTCATTCCCAAGTAACTATAAGCTCTACCTGAACCAAACTTGCATGGATGATGCATCTAGGGATGGACACTACCAGACTTGCTTCGGATGCTGGATCTGACCTATATTTTCATTCCCAAGTAACTATAAGCCCTGCCTAAACCAAACTTGCATGGATGATGCCTCTAGGGATGGACACTACCAGACTTGCTTCGGATGCTGGATCTGACCTACATTTTTATTCCCAAGTAACTATAAGCCCTACCTGAACCAAACTGATCAAATTTTATACACATACAAATTTTCATGTTGCTTTACTAATATATCCTCTGCGGGGCATTCATGTCCTATGAACATATTTCTAGTTTAACAATTAATTTAACTAGAGTAAAATCAAAAGATCTGGACAACCATGATAACGTACAGTATTGATATCGTTACGGTACTTAACCCGCGTTGCATAAATTGGCACTGCATGTTTCTAAGTCATCCTTTCCCATAAATGAAAATTTTTGACTTGGGTAGCAACAGCATACATTTTTAAATAATGGTTTAAGAAAAGAGACTGTTTGATTTTTGTAATGTTATATACTGGGGACTCTCAATGGCTCGAACTCCGATCTCGAGAAGTTCTCGATCTCTCGAAGTGAACCTCCGGTCCCGTTTTTTCCCTCTATATAACTAGGGCTGGGACGATATATCGAGATATTGATATATCGTGATATATGTGAGGACGATACGCATATCGATACATATGAAGAAATATCGAAATATCGCCCATGAAAATCTTACTTCTATTTTTCTTTGTTTATTTAACATTTGGGGTTTAATATATAAAATAAATAAGTGAAATATAAATATAGATATGAAATAAATAATAATTAACACTATTTGAGTAAAATATTTTTGTTATACAACATATAAACAATTATTTTGAATAAATTATTCTTAATTGCAAAGAAATAATTTGTTTCTTCAATGCAAAAAAAGATTTTATAAGCAATTAAACATATTGTGATACATATCGTATCGTGGCTCAAATATCGTGATATGTATCGATATAGAAAAAGTTGTATCGTCCCAGCCCTATATATAACTTTGCAAATTTACTCCTGATCTCTCGAACTTCTATCTCTCGAAGTTCTCTATCTCTCGAACCAAAACCCAGGTCACGCTACCTATATTTCATTGAATTTTACCCTCTATCTCTCGAAGTTTTGACTGCGCGTGTATATACTCCAATCAAGTGTAAAATTGATGCAGTCTGGACTTACCTGGGAAACAGTGAACGCCTGGGGCTAGCATGGAGGTGTTAAGTGGGTGTTTACATAAATGACACTACACCTGTGGGTCGTCCGTGTGTCAATATAATTATTAATTGGTTATAATTGGTAAATTATAAACGAGTTCTCAACTTATTTTGACTTGAAACCGAGACGATATTTTTTAGAAAATAATTAATAGACGTTCGTTTCAATAAGTTCAATAAGTAGACTATGGACTTTTATTAGAGTCTACATAATCCGAGTATGAAATATTGCAGAGGGAATTCTTCTATCAAAGACTGAAAACCGATAATCAAAAATCTGGTGAACGCTAGTGAAGGACCCGATCAGGCCGCGGAAAAGCCAAACAGCTATTCGGGTTCATAATCATAAAATAAGAGCAAATAAATATTAAAACTTTATTTAGGAATTCATTTTATTTATTCAAAATATGATCATTGTTGTTGATATCAAGTGAACTACCTGCTAAATGCGATTGAAAACGTGCCAAATGACTTAACTTACATATACTTCTGGTATCTATAATAGTAGAAAGTCGATGATCGGAACTGGAAAATCCGGATTTTATTTAGTTTCTATCTCTCGAACCCTTCGATCTCTCGAACTTTTCTTGCAGTCCCTTGAACTTCGAGAGATCGAGAGTCACCTGTATGTAATAACAAAGAAGGAAGAATATTGATCACTTCCCGATTGTTTCACATGCGACACAATTTTCGGCTAACGTAACGTTAAATGACGTAGCGAGGCTGCTCCGGGTCCATAGACATATGCATTTTTATTACTTCACAGAAACTTATGTAATCATCGTAGGAATTCGAAAATTTGCTTAGGTGTTTTAGTTGTTCTTTACAAGATTTTGATGAATTTTCATGAAATAATCGCCGTCCTTTATGGAGTAAATGTAATTGTCTCAATAATTTCAGAACAGCCCTCATATATGTTTGAAGCCAACAAGAAAGTACAGGAAAGATTAAATTGGAATAATTTACATATATTAATTAAAAATAAGTTGAGTTTGTCTTACCTGTTAAAGATTGTCTCTACAAAACATGGCGACCTGTTCATATGTTGAGATAGTCAATGATCCAGGTGTGTGCTGACTGCACACTTCCGTGCAAAGAGATTTAAATGTCTACCTGTGATATTGACACTGGGTCTGCATAGTTTACTTCTAACTGATGTGTAATAAAATTTCCTAATCTCAGTGAAATTGATATGCTGGGTTGTTGTTCCTTCATAGTATGCATGTACATGGTTGGAAATGAATGAAGCATATGACATACCTATTAGTTTCTCATATTTTATATTTCTAAAATTGTACACTTGACTTTGAAACGTGTGATTCATTTCCTACTGTGTACCTATCCATGAATATTAATCAGGCCTTTGAAAACACTTTGTAAGGGTATTATCTTTTGCTGGACTTACCTTTATTTTAATTTTTTTTTTGTAAATTTTGTATGATATTATTATTTATATATGCAAGTAAATTTTAACCTCTTAAAAAAAAGGGGGGCACTAGAAAGAGGTAAAGTATGTATTGGTGTTGGAAGCAAATCGAAAGTGGTGGTGGTGGGGACTAATTGGAGGAGAAAAAATCCAACATAAAAAAAACCTGACAAGCAATTAGGAAAAAAGAAAAGGAAAGAAAAGGAAAAGCGGAAAATTTCTCTATTGTCCAAATATGTAAATCCTATTTCACTTCTTACTATATCCCCCCCCCCAAAAGAGGGCGGGGGGGGGGGGGCATGGTTACTAAATAATAAATTCAAAGGGATGCATATATTATTCCAATATTTATGCCCCCGTAAACGAAGTTTGTCGTGTCTGTCTGTCTGCCTCTCTGTTTGTCTGTTTGTCCGCAAAAACTTTAACCTTGTCCATAACTTTTGATTTAGTGGAGCTATGACTTTCATATTTCACATATGTATTCCTTGTGACAAGACCTTTCTTAGGGTACCACCAAATTTGACCTTTTGACCTTGACCTTGGAGTTTGACCCACTTTTACATGAAAATTTTAAAATTTTACTTTGGCCATATCTTTTGAACAGTAGACACCAGGACATTTATTCTTCACATATGTAATGTTTGTTGAAAGACCTTTTACTGGATACCAACAGCCTTGACCCTTTGACCTTGGCCTTGTAGATTTTCGTACTTGTGAAAAAACTTTAACCTTGGCCATAACTTTTGAATGGTAAGGGATAGGGCTTTCAAACTTCATATATGTAATCCTTGTGAGAAGAGCCTTCATTGGATACCAAGAATTTTGACCCTTTGACCTTGACCTTTGAGATTGACCTACTTTAAAAAAGCAAACCTTGACCCTTACTTTTAAAGATTAGGGCTAGTGCTTTCATACTTTACATATTTGATCTTTATGACAAGACCTTTCATTTAATAACAATAACTTTGACCCTTTGACCTTGACCTTGGAGTTTGACCTACTTTTTAAGAAATTGAACGTTGACCATAACTTTTGAACAGTAGACACCAGGACATTTATACTTCACATATGTAATGTTTGTTGAAAGACCTTTCACTGGATACCAACAACCTTGACCCTTTGACCTTGACCTTGTAGATTTCCTTACTTGTGAAAAAAACTTTAACCTTGGCCATAACTTTTGAACAGTAAGGGATAGGGCTTTCACACTTCATATGCGTAATCCTTGTGAGAAGACCCTTTATTGGATACCAAGAATTTTGACCCTTTGCCTTGACCTTTGATACTGGCCTTCTTTAAAAAATACAAACATTGACCTAACTTTTAAACAGATAGGGCTATTGCTTTCATACTTTACATATTTAACTCTTGTGACAAGACCTTTCATTTGATAACAAGAACTTTGACCCTATGACCTTGACCCTGGAGTTTGACCTACTTTTTAAAAATTTAGCCTTGGCCATAACTTCTGAACGGTAAGGGCTAGGGCTTCCATACTTTCCATAAGCATTCTATGTTGCAAGAGCTTTCATTTGATACCAATTACATTGACCTTTTGACCTTGACCTTGGAGAGTTTTGTACTTATTGAAAAAACTTTAACATTGGCTTATTTTCAAATTTCACAATTGTTTTCCAGTGAGAATACCCTACTTTTGTTACCAATTAATTAAATTTGCATTTTAAAAAAGTTTAATCTTTACTATGTTGCCATACGGGGGCATCTGTGTTTCACAAACACATCTTGTTTTAAAATGTAATTCTTCCTGTTTTTTTTTTCGAGGGGGGAGGAAGGGGGGGAGTCTCTTTCTTTGTGGTGCCTTTCTTATTTGTGTAGTCTTCATTAGGGCCTCGCAAGGATTTGCGGGTGCCCTATAGTAATCACTCCGTCTGTCCGTCTGTCATTCTTCCGTCCACAAATTTTCTGTTTTTTCCTAATAACTTTTTTTATGGTTGCCCAATTAAGATCAAATTTGGTATTGTAGTTCAATAGCCAGAAAAACATATTTTGATGCTAAGTTTGTTTCTCTCTGTCCCCTGGTTTGGAGCTGGGGTGGTGGTGTAGATTCCTTAACTTGATATAAGAATGCATTGACAAAGAGAGATAACTGCTAAAGATGTTCCCATTGTAAACTGAATGCTGCTATGAGTCCCTTGGGATAAATTAGCTTTCCTCCTGAAGAAAATCCAAAGCATTATCTTTATCTGTCACATTGAGATGAATTACCACCTCTGTCTGCAAATGAAGTTTGTTTTGAAGTTAAGTCAGTTTGGAATGCTATGGACACTCTGAAATGTGGATTTAAATATAAATGTTCATACTTTCTTTTTGTTAAAATACCCTACACAATGAGTTATGATTTCATTGAATTCTAAAAACAAGAAATAGATTAAAGAAGACATATCTTTAATTGTTAATTTTTTTTCCTTTATGTAAATTCAAGAATAATATTAATTTTTCAGGTAGTTGGATAAAAACCCTATTCTATCATTAATACTGAAAAAGTTCTTATTGTAACTTTAGAAGAAAATGATGAGAGAGGTACAATTAATCCCGATGGATTAATTATCTAGCCTGCTGCTGAAAATTTAGTAGGCCTATCTTTATCTGTCACTTTAAGATTAATGAAAAAATTGTCAGCAACTGCTGTTTGTTTTGAAGTTAAGGTCAAGCCTTCATTATACATGTACTGTAAACATACTTGTTTCCACGGGGTCATAAATCTGCGGAATCTCTATTCCTGTTTAATCCACAGGTAGAAAATTCCACGGTTTTCTCAGACTGTCACTATATGCCTTACTTTTGTATTAAGTATATATCCGCGGAAAATTTGTGACCGCGTACATAGCGTAAATTAAAACTACGCGGAAAAAAGTACTTCTACAGTATTTGCATTCAATGAAGACTGACATTTTATATAACACAATTA